TGTGGGAATGGATGCAACCACCGGCACCGATCAAACCGGTAAACGGTATTGGCAAAGGATCGAGGACGTCTATTGTAAGATCAAGCCGAAGAATAGTGGGTTCATCCATCGCTCTTTCCGGTCGCTTCAAGGCCGGTGGGAATTGATCAAGCCCGCTTGTTCTCGTTGGAGTGCGGCCATGGACCAAGTGATAGATGCACCACCTAGTGGAACCGTGGAGAGTGACTATGTGAGTACATATTTCTTCACTATTTTGATTATGTGTGTGCACTATGCTATTGGTGGGTTCTTATGTGATTTATGTGTGGTTGATAGGAGACAATTGCCGGCATGAGGTACAAGGAGATGGCTGCTTCCAAGGGCAAGGCGTTCCCATTTAAGCATGTTTGGTCAATTCTTCAAACCTTTGACAAGTGGAAGTTGAGGGATCAAGAGACCGCACCCAAGAAGTCGGCAATGCTAAGGATGGATGATAGTGAAGATGAGGAGGAGAGGAACGTGGGCAAGCCCGAGGGAAACAAGAAGGGCAAGCTAAGGGTGAAGATGGAAGAAGAGGCGTCAAGCCTAAGGGAGAAGATGGACCACATGATGAAGGCAAGAGAGGAATTGACAACGAAGACATTGGAGACGAAGCTTCTTATCACCGAGAAGAAGAAAGAGGTCAAGCTTGCACAAGTTGAAGCAAAGCGTGAAGAAGCAAAGCGCAAGGCCGAGTTGGAGGAGAGGATGATCAAGCTCAAAGAGGCAAAGGTATGGAAAGAACTCATGGTGGAGGAGAAAGAGCACATGATGATGTCCAAGAAGGACATGGATCAAGACCAATTGCAATGGTGGAAGGACTACAAGGAGGACATCGCGGAGAGGAAGAGGATGTTTCGTGTTGCGTCCTCTACTTTTCGAGGTGACACTCCGATGAGTAGTTGTGGTGATGGCGGTGTGTACGACTCCATCGGTGGCGATGGAGATGCTTGATGGAGCCCGCTTGTGGTCTAGGAGATGGCGCCAGGTGCAACTTTTGGTGATGGTGCCGATGAGAGGAGGAAGATGATGATTTTGTGATGTAAACTATTAAACCATGCATCAATGATTGTCATTTGGTAGTTTGTTGGAAGTTGATTGTGTTCTTGTTGTCATAAATTATGAGATGCCAAATGATAGATTTAAAGGTTGGGGTTGAGGCAAAGACTAGAACCCTCAAATCCAACCCTTAAAGCAGTTTACGGGTTGGGTTTGAGGGTTCTAGTATTTGCCACTGTTTTTCAACCCTTAAAAGTGTCAAAAAGTGGCACAACTCAACCCTTAAAAGTGCTTTTTAGATTTGAGGGTTTGAGGGTTCTACTAGTAATGCTCTAATCTAGGTTTCGCGAGCAGGCCAGCAAAACGTCGCTTGGTATGGCTCCGAAAATAAATCCTACGAGAGCAGGTGTCTTTTACAATCGCGTGAGACCCCACTCATAAGATGACATGTGTTTAGCACCCAGCTCGAAACATCTTCTTCCCGGAAGAGCAGTTGGTGAATAGTCTTCACGTTTTATTTTTGTTAGGTTTTTTCGTCTCTCCTCCCACCACCCCCTCCCATTCTGGTTCATTGGTTTATTTTTCTCTTCACTCTTTATTACAACCAGGACTTTTCTAACGTATAACAAATCATGGATCTAACTTCTTTAAATTATTCATATCAATCGATTCTTTTTATTGGTTCAATTTGTCTTAGGAAACAAATAACAATTTTTTAAGAAACAAATAATAGATTTGAATCTAACTTTCCTAACTTATCAAAGTCAATCGATTTCTCACATTAGTGAAGTTTGTTTTACGAAACAAATAACAGACACGTCACAAACTTTCCTCCCAATAAATAGTTTCTTAACATCTGCAAACTTTCCTAATCAGACACGTCACAAACGGGCAGGTACTGATATCATGTTACCAAACAATAAAACCCCATTTGCATAGAAATCAGTTCAAAATCCTAACTTTTCTAAATTTTTACCTTTTCTTGATAACATCTAATATTTCCTATGTTTTCCACCTATTGAAGGAAATCACCCCTCCATCAATATTAGCATTTTTTGGAATGAGATCTCCGGGTTATGTTTTTTTGCGATTCTTTCCAATTGTGACCTCTCCTTCCGCTCCGGCTCCTTCTCGCATAATCACCTCCACCACAGCCAGCTGACACCACCCTAGACCTTTTGCCTCTCCACACCTTCTCCGCCACCTTTTCCTCGTACTCCATTGACAATCTCTCTGCCACGTTTGTCCACAGCGGTGTCGAGGGCATGGCGCAACAGCGTACCAGTGGTAGAGCAGCGCATAGCAGCAGGAAGAAGCACGCAGCAGGCGAGGCGAGCGGCCGACGGTGGAGGGCAGAGTTGCGGCCGGCAGAAGATGGCCGCGGCAGAAGGCGGCGCGAGGTAGGGGCGCGATAGCGGGGCCAGCAAAGGGATAGGCAGCAGCAGACGGGGCGAGCGCAACCAGCGAGAGTGTGACGTGCGGTCAGGGTGTGCGTCGCGCGGGGCACAGTGGTGCGGTGGCTGTGGCGAGCATGATGTCAACGGCGGGCGCGACGGATGCGGTGTGGCACATGCATGGGCATGGAGAGCTAGAGAGGGAGTGACTCCGCGGGGCGCGGAAGAAGAGCTGAAGGCTCAGGCATGGGCGCGCATAGGAGCGGGCATGTGCCACGGGGTCAATCTGAGGAGCTTAGTGGCTACCCCTACAATGGCCATGGCGGACGACGATTCTCGGCCACGACGAAATACCTAATGAGAGCAAACGAGAGGGGAAACTGGGGAAAGGCAAGAGGAGATCACGGCGGTGTCAATGGCACCCTAGGGGAAGACAGGGGAGCTCGGGGCGGCGCGGATCGAACGGCAATGTCGCGGTGGCCGAAGGTTGAGGAAGACGACAACGACGTCGATCTGGGGTGCTGGACTTGATCTCGCTGGCGCAGACGAAGTAGCGGAGCCATTGGGAGCTCCTCGACAAGCTCCTAGCCAGCAGTTGGTGAATAGTCTTCACGATTTATTTTTGCTAGGTTTTTTTCGTCTCTCCTCCCACCACCCCCTCACGGATCTAACTTCCTTAAATTATTCATATCAATCGATTCTTTTTATTGGTTCAATTTGTCTTAGGAAACAAATAACAATTTTTTAAGAAACAAATAATAGATTTGAATCTAACTTTCCTAACTTATCAAAGTCAATCGATTTCTCACATTAGTGAAATTTGTTTTACGAAACAAATAACAGACACGTCACAAACTTTCCTCCCAATAAATAGTTTCTTAACATTTGCAAACTTTCCTAATCAGACACGTCACAAACGGGCAGGTACTGATATCATGTTACCAAACAATAAAACCCCATTTGCATAGAAATCAGTTCAAAATCCTAACTTTCCTAAATTTTTACCTTTCCTTGATAACATCCAATATTTCCTATGTTTTCCACCTATTGAAGGAAATCACCCCTCCATCAATATTAGCATTTTTCGGAATGAGATCTCCGAGTTATGTTTTTTTGCGATTCTTTCCAATTGTGACCTCTCCTTCCGCTCCGGCTCCTTCTCGCATAATCACCTCCACCACAGCCAGCTGACACCACCCTAGACCTCTTGCCTCTCCACACCTTCTCCGCCACCTTATCCTCATACTCCATTGACAATCCCTCTGCCACGTTTGTCCACGGCGGTGTCGAGGGCATGGCGCAACAGCGTACCAGTGGTAGAGCAGCGCATAGCAGCAGGAAGAAGCACGCAGCAGGCGAGGCGAGCGGCCGACGGTGGAGGGCAGAGATGCGGCCGGCAGAAGATGGCCGCGACAGAAGGCGGCGCGAGGTAGGGGCGCGATAGCGAGGTGAGCAAAGGGATAGGCAGCAGCAGACGGGGCGAGCGCAACCAGTGAGAGTGTGGCGCACGGTCAGGGTGTGCGTCGCGCGGGGCACAGTGGTACGGTGGCTGTGGCGAGCATGATGTCAACGGCGG